CCGGATCGAACGCACCGAGGCAGACACAACTTGGCTGTGATAGTTTGGGGCTGTCTGTTTCTCCATTGGTGCTCCTTCGGCTGCTCAGCTGGCACAGCGGTGCGGGTCGTTAACCTGGACTCCGACGTGAGCTGTCCACTCGCAATACGGCTGATCAAACCGCTCCTTAGATGCCGCAAATCACGCTGTTCCTCTTGTGTGCTGAGCCGAACCAGCCATGCGTACTTTGTCTTCGTCTCGTTGCCACCAGTCCCTCGTTATCTCGACGATTACCTCCGCCTTAAGTTTCAGCCACCATCACACCCAACAAGGTATCATTACCCCGATTTTCAAGAGTGGCAGCCGTTCAAAGCTCGTCAACTATCGCCCAGTGATTCTCCTCCCAATGCCCTCAAAGCTGATGGAGTCTATCATAGCTGAGGCACAAATGGTCTACTTTGAAAGGTCTAACGTCATAGCATCGGAGTAACAAGAATTCTGTCAGCCTCGGTTATGTATAACAAATCTATTGATTGCGCGTGGTAGCTGGGCCGAAACAGCCGACAGGGATGTCGTCAATCAACTTCTCTGAAGTTTTCGACCGATTAGATAACGGCATACCTCCCCAAAGATTGCAAGAGTACGGAATCGGGAACCCTGTTCTTAGATGCACCGGAATTTTCTTCCGTCAGTGGCGCCTTCAGGTTCGAGCTTGGGGCTCACATTCTGGTCTAACTGATTAGAATTGCGGTGTACCACAAAGGTCAGCGTTGGGACCGCACTTGTTCTTAGTCTTTATTAAGGACCTCTCCCGTGTCAGTCGAACTGCCTGTTTTTCGCCGATGACATCAGCGTTTGGCGGGTGATCGGTAGTCATGAAGAGCATGATATGCTGCAACGAGACTTAGACCGCGTCTTTGAAGGGTCAAAGGCAAATCTACTCCAGTATAACGCGGACAAGTGCAAAACTGTGCATGCACGCCACAAGCTCACTTACGCGTAGATGCTTGGAGACATGTTGAAAACCGCCTTACAGGAGCGCGACCTTGGGGTGATGGTATAAGATGACCTCGGCTGTTCGGCGCAGTCCTTTAAGGCGTGCAAAACCGCGAAGCAAAATGTTGGTTGGGCGTTCGGGAGGCTCGACCACTCCATTTGCTCCCAAATACTCAATGCGTAAGTGAGGCCGCACGTAGATTACTCGATCCAGACCCGGCAGACCTGGTTAAAACGTGATCTGGTTGCACTGGAGACCACACAGCGAAGGGCAAGCATAAAAAGGAAGGGATTATTACACCTGCGACTGAAGAGCGGAAAATATCGCCGTCTACGGGCGGCCTCATTGTGGCCTACCAGATTTTGAAAAAGCACCGTCCACGCTTGCCGCCACCTCATGAAACTCAGCCACAACACAAATTTGAGTCATAAGCTGAGAATGAGCACCCAACACAGCCGGCTGGAATGCCGAGGGAATTGTTTTCCCGTTCGAATTTGTCAACCGTGGAACGCTCTTTCGACCTGTCACTGTTGCGCCGACGCGATTCATTAAAAAAGGACACGACGGCGCATCACTTAATTTGATTTCTGTTCATTTAATGATAACAAGACGCAGACAAAAGTTGTGCTCACCAACCCCACAACATCGGGGTAGACGGATATACTTTTGTGTTAAGGTGGATAGCGTGGTGAGTCCACAGATGCGCGTTTCATTTTAGCGTAATTTCTTTTTTGAAATTAAGTAATTCGCGCAAATCTCCCCATGGGACGTGTTAAGCTTTGTTTTCTAATCCGTCTTGTTCCATTGTAGTCCGCTCACACAGGCATGGATCCAGGTGACAAACTGGGGGATAATGGAGCACCCAGGAATATCAAACGTAAAGAGTATGGGTGGATGACCCAGCTGAATAAACTGAACGACAGTGAAACCGAATACCAGCAGAACAGACCCTGTTTTTATACACCGGGAGTAGAACTTCGAGCACACAGCTCGTGATATATATCGCCGGGATGAGAAGACTCACATTGAGCGCTACAGCTACAGCAGTCCTGTCCGATTCAAAAGTGAAATATGCCATCAGTTTTGGACATAAAGCTACAGGGTCGTGAATTTTTTCGATGAAACGAAACCGCCTACTTTGTTCCGATAACTTACTCTCATTGAATGAATCATTTGTTCCCAATCAAGTGACCCTTCATTGATAGCGGAAAATTCGAATATTGGGCTCCCGTGGTCCACGACGGAAGCAATACTCAGTATTATCCCAAACCCCACGTTTACCGTAGCGACTAATAGCTTCTCGAAGTTAATAACCCAGGTGACGGCATCGCAATGACATTCCTACCAAGCGTAGTCAAGAGGCTCACAACTGGAAGTGCGGGTCTTGGTGTAAGTGACCGAGATCCGCTGACAACGTCCACCACTCCGGGTGCCGAACAGGAGCCACCTATCTTAATTATTGTGCTGTTGCGGAAATGCATAGCTTGTGAATAGCAACGTACTCTGAGAACAGCGCTTGTCACAGAAATCAGTAGGCTTCAAAGGAATGGTCTAAGTTGATATCAAGGTGATTTACCGTCGCGCGCTGCAACCGAAACAAGGTATATTCGGAAAGTTAAATGTGTCTTCGTAACCGCAGTGCCAAGCATTGCTTCCGAAGCTAGGTGAGCCGACCTGTAATATTAAGGATCACAAACCTGGATAGTAATCCGAGGGCGCAGGTTCGAGTCTACCTAGGGACTGGACGACTCTCGCAGCATCCTTGGCCCACGTGCGACTGGCGGGGGTTGAATGACAGCGAAACGTCGGTACTGCGTACCGGTGAGCCGTGGGGGTCAGCCACAATGAAAATGCCTCAACTTTGGACGCGACTCCAGTGCTCGGAATGACTGAGATAGAGCACTTGTTGACATACCGCGGACACGCACCCTATTGTATTTCATCAACCACCTGTGTATTTTAATCCCCTCAACCAACGACGATACATTTTCGCTTCTACTCTCCTGGATTAACGACACTGTGTTGTCTTGCACTTCCACCTCATTCCGCTCAACTGTTGTATATGTATGGCTGGGGGTATCTGGTTTCGGATTTGTCTGTCACTGTAACCAGCCACAGGATGCCTGCGCCTACAGAGGGATCTTGGGTGGATTGCGTTGCACCACTCAAGCTCCAACCACACCCCCCATATCCAGTGTAAACCCGAAAGAATAAGACCGGGAGCCATGTGGTTGGGAGCCACGTTTCGTCAACGGAGCCGGCCCACACTCCTTCACGGGCAAACACAAGCACGCTGTATTTGGGAAATCAAGCGCACACAAGGCGGTGGCTGGACCGTAGTCCACTCCACACTGAGCGCATGAAACCGCTCTTTGAGCCTAGAACGGCCACAAGGACAGTGCACCCCGTCCCCTCCAGCAACGACCAACTGTCTCCTGGTGCCAGTATGGACGAGGTAGTGGGTAATAGACAGGTAGGTACCTTGTCAACATGCACAGCAAGCGCAGCCATTCATGTTAAAAGACAAGCAGAAATAAAATAAATCCAATAATGCATACAGGTACGGTGGCATAACTCTTACCTAAATTACCACATGAAGTAAGTTGTTTAGCAACGAATCCGCAATAAGTAAGAAATGTCCACATGTTACTTAAAATGCTACAAACGCAACAAAATTACCGAAGATAAGTGCAATTAGCGTAAGCACCGTGGCGTTAATAGAAGATTATTCAGGTAGGCAGAACAAACCAAATAAAGTGGAATGAAATGTATCCAGCTTAAAAAGACCTATACATATATATATATATATAGATATAGATATATATCGTAAACAACAGTGGCCCGAAATGAGGTTATGTCGCAATGCGAACACACAGTGGACGCATCAATGTCAATAGGATGTGAATAGCAAGCTCCGCAGAGTAGATATGTTTAATATGAAGGTTAAAAATTATAACCTGCTCATAATTAAACACGCGGAATATGAAACAATATTTTCTCGTGGGTACTATAGTGGGTAACATTAGTGGAACCAGTCGAAACGCAGGTCAGACAAAAGATAGGATATCGCAGGAAGATAAAAATGTCATCGATATACACGTTACTACATCGGACGGAGGGCAGACCTGTTGAGCATAAACAATCGTTTCTTCAAATTATGCCACCAGAAGGCAGATAAATCCGAAAGAGTGATGAGAATGCAAAACGAAGTGCACCCGGTATCGTTCACTCGACATGCTTGAATTCGCATTCAAATGTTCCCATGAGATGTTGCTTGTTGGACGCCTAGTCGAACTGACCAAACACAGTATCGGAGTATGTTGGCGAGTACGTTCTCATTTCGGATCGTATGGGTGAGTTGATTAGGCACAACACCCTCTTGTGATGCACTACTGATGAGTAGTATGTATGAGTACGAAGGGTGTAAAATGCACTCGAGTGGCAAGGGATCTCGTACATGAGCATGTCGCAGTATTGGGAATGAAAAACCAAAAAGACCGAGTGATTGGAGAGGCCGGTGCAGATTACGCAAGAGGTTGGGTATATCGAATTCTGCATCAGAGGACACGGTCAAAAGGGTGGTGCTGTTTTTGTGGGAAGTTGAGATACAAGACGTACCACGCGGCCTTCGTACGCGGCGATCCATAATTTCTTTGACGTTATCACGCCTGCCCGGTTCTCGCCACACTATTCATCAACAGTGTACCACACTCTGATTGGCGAAGAGCAGTGAACAGTCCCCTTAATCTTATACTCTGATACGGCAAACCACAAGCCTAAAAATTATGTACAAACAGTTAAGAAATGTTGAAAAGTTGTAGAAACTGTGGTTGCCCTGGGAAACACACTGTGTTAACAGTAGATGGGGGGCAGAAAATGCTAGTCAGTAAAATTAAATGGAGCCGTGTCCAAATTGTGCATAGTACAACCATAGCGTACAGAAATAAAACGGTTACATTTAGCGACACCCGGCGTGGAGTTGATACATTTGAGAGTGATCGAGCCAAGACCGTATGAGACGTACCCACAACGATGGACGTAGTCTTCGTAGTGGTTCGGACAATCGTAGTTGATAACCAGCAACAGCTCCGACACGTCGAGTCCACGGGCTGCGACTGAGGTGGCGATGAGCAGGCGAATATTCCCTCGCTTGAAATCTGTGATCACCGAGTCGCGGTCGTACTGATCGATACCGCCGTGGAGGGACAAGCAAGGATAGCCGTATTTGAGTAGGACGCGCATCAGTTCGTCGGCACTTTCTTGCTTCTCGACGAAGATGAGCACGCTCCCAGACTCCTGGTAGAGACCAAGCAACTCCAACACTTTGTAAAATTTCTCATCCTCAGTTAAAACCATCTGTGGGAGGGCCGAGGGTAAAAATGAATGAAAAAAATAAACACACTCTATCAAAATTGCGAAAGAGTATATAAGAAAGGGAAGTATGTTGAAGTTTTACGCCAAGACTGGTGAAAGAATCAATGAGTATGTGTTCTGCCTACAAAGTAACGAAATAAGAGGAATCCTGGCAAATCAAGAAGAGTTTAAGCGGCGTAGAAACAAAAGACTATTACAGGCACTATCAGATCGGAAATTGATAAAATGGCAGGATGCCATCTTCCTGGATGAAGCTCGTGGGGTCAAAGACATCGCTGATTACAAGTCCTTGTCGACATAGTGCTGGTCCGAAGCCCGTGACGCTTTATATTCCTTCTGTCATCTGTACCTGTTAAACTTTCTAGAGGTTTTTTTACTTTACTACTATATACTACTACTATACTATATATATTATTACATTTGCGATTTATGAGCATGTCACTAGCGTTAATGATATTAATTTGAGAACCAACATGTTAAACAACAATAGTTATAACTTACATGCATAAAATTAAAAATTACAGCTTTAATGCAAAAACTTTCAATTTCAATGTTGAAGCGTTATATCATAAAATTAGTGAAATGAAGGACTTATGTGGTACCTCTTAAACTAGAGCTGATACAAATAAACTAACCTAATGGTTGAAAACAGTGCAGCAAATATAGTCCGAAATAAGTCTTACTTTCTGTGTATAGATAGAAAAATTTTGCAGAGCAGTGTACAGCAATTCAATCAATAAAGGTGTTGTGTGTCGGAAGTGTTTGAACATCGAAGGATCACCGAAACCCTCGATGATAGATGTGCATGCAATGCTCTAAGTCCTATCGATATCGCTGGTTACCACAAACACCAGCAAACGAAACAAGAAACTGGACAGACGATCGGAAACATCGGAATTCCTGAGGCTAGATGTGCACAAAATGAGACGCTAACTCACAGCGTGTTGTTCGACATCGGAGCACACAACCGAGCGGACGCCAACTTGGATTTCGATGGGTGCTGTGAGTGCCTTCCTTGCAAGTAGTTCCATTTGACGGGGAAATGTGGCTGAGAACATGAGTGTCTGACGATCTGGCCGGCAATTCTCCACAATGCGCATCACTTGCGGCTCGAAGCCGAGGTCAAACATGCGATCCGCCTCGTCCAATACGACGTAAGTGCAACGCCGCAGATTCGTGACTCGGCCTGAGGACGAATGAGCGTAACAAAAGGGAGGGTAGACAATTGGTGTGACGTGTCCACTTGTCAATGGTGGAAAACTGACATTCTAGTTGCTACCATAAGGTTGAAAACCTCATCAGGTTGGTGTTTGGAGTGGGAATACTGTAGCGAGTGTGTAACTTTCCTGCTGCAGCCAGATGACAGCGGTTGTTACACCTAAAGTTTTTTTAATTGTAAAATGGCACCTTGCAGTTATAGAGACGACGTGGATTCCACTGAAGCTTACAATCCACATACAAGTGTTGTGTTTTTAAGAGTAGAACAGCATCTAGTAATGGAACTAAGGTGTGGGACACTGTGTACGGGAGCAGATACGTCGTAATCTTTAAAAAATCAGGCATTCAGGCAAGGATGCACATATTTCGTCCAATAAGAGTGTTCAACGAGCGATGTGGGGCGTGAACGAATCAATGACAAGAACCATTCAAATCAACAACGAAAAGCAAAACGGAGAGGATGAGACCAAGTCGAAACAACAATATGCTGTACGATGGTGGATTAGGCGTCTGGTCTGTAACCGCTGTGCTGCGGATTCCAGTCTTCACTCTCGCTTCGGACGTCTGTGCGGTGGTATTCCAGGCAGACACGAATGCATAGCTACTGATATCTCTCCAAAACCTAAGTCAGATGAGGCCATTGAACTACAAAAGAAGTCAGATGTGGGAGGCAAGGATAGCCGACTAATACCAAGCTGTAAACACATGGATAACCCTGGAAAATCAGAAAACGTCACTGAAGTACTAAAGCCATGCAGCTACCAGTTGCTAGTAAAGGTATTGACAATAAATGTGTACACAGCATCGTTTAAATCGGCAGCCACATTATTGCTGCGTGAGATTATATTCTCTTTCACATAGGTTTTTAGCTACAAAAGGTTCTTCGATCTAGAGAAGGCTGAATATTTGGCCGGCTCATAGTCACCAGTTCAAAGATGTGGATCCCTAGAGGTCGAACTGCGGAATTTGAAAATCAAAGTTTTACTAGCGCATGGTTGTGAGATAACAGTGGAAATGAGGGCAAACAGAACACAAGCCAAAAAGTGGGATGTAGTCTTTGGGGACATATCTAGATTCAGGAGAGAGCTTTCTTCATTGTTTCGCCAAGACGGATAGAGGTGCATTCCATCGCAACCGAAGTGTAAGTTACTAAGAGGTTTCGCATATTGCAACTTAAACGCCAATTTTGTGACCTCGTTGATTAAGTACGATCAAGGTAATTTGGTTGGGTGTAGAAATGGCTTATGCGGATCGGTTCATGTTTACGGAGATGACCACTGTGACTCTCCGGTTCAAATTACCTGTTAATAAAGTGAAGAGACTTGCTTGATGACACCGAAGACCAGTTGGTTGAAGATGAGCATCACTTGAAGGCGTTACTGAATAGTAAAGTTCAATCGGCCCATAGGATATGCATATATCGGCGGAATCATTACACAGTACATGGGTGGGGCGGTAGAGTCATCAAGAGCTTAAGCAGATGAACGTCGGGCACTCTGGTTGCGGATCAAATTGCCACAAGTACTAAAAACCGTGACCGCTAGTACGAGGGAACGTAGAATTTCAGAGGAATATAGAAGTTTGTGAAACTAGATGAATTGATAACCAAACTGCCAAAAAACGGTAGAACATCAAAAGCACTATCCATGATTTAGCTGAAGTTCGTTTACGGAAAGTGATCGACCAATAATGGACCACAGATGACCGAATGCTAAAAAGGTACCCAGCATGTACCCTCTAACATAATTGGATCTGAATGATTCCGTAGCCATGGTAAAACGAATAGTGCAGTGTTAGATGAATGATGAGCCCAAAGCAAACAAAGCCTACCTCCGTTTGCAGCAAGCATGTCGATCATGCGCCCGGGAGTACAGACGATGATCTCCGCTCCGCGTTTGAGCTCGGCGATTTGCTCACTGATTCCAGTGCCCCCATAGACGCAAGCGACCCTAGTGTCTGTGGCCTGACACAATTTTTTTGCCTCCTTAAATGTTTGCAGGGCTAGCTCGCGGGTCGGAGTCAACAACAGGGCGATGGGTCCATCACCAGACTCAAGAGGAGCTTGGTATTCCAGATGTCGCATTAGAGGGACGAGGAAGGCGAGAGTTTTGCCACTCCCAGTTTTGGCTATGCCGATCATGTCTCGGCCAGACATGATGACCGGTAGAGCCTGACACTGAATGGGAGTAGGCTTGTCGAATTTGTTTCTGCAATTTAATGAGATGATAACAACAAGTGAAAATGAAGGTATTTTTTCAAAAGGACTCAGCATGAAACTGTAAGAGCGAAAGTTAAATGCCCAAGAAGCCATCTCTAACATTCTCACCAGCGTTGCATCCATTGATAAACCTATTTGGTATACTATGTGGGGTTAATTTTGATGCATGTGGTTGACGGATTTGGATTCCAGTGAGGAAGGCCGTCTGCTCCCCGCGAGTTCCGGCGACGGATTTGCACCTGATGCAAAATTGATGAGCCCATACGAATAGATGGAGAGTGTGAATCGATAAGAAAGTTTGATCAGAGCTAACACGCAGTAGTTCCAGACGATGGGCTATTAAGTTCGTTCGGTGTACTATGCGCCGACTGAGAGTAGGTCTGAGGCCGTGAGAAATTAATTCTATTGTGTCGCATCTCAGTGGCCAACTGTGCAAGCACTGTGAGAATTGATGTTAAAGTAGACTAGTCATTAGAATTTATTCCTGAGGTGAAGCTCGTCACACAGAAAATGGCTATGTGGTGGATAATATCGAGAATAAATATTTCGCCAGCTTAAGCTGCTGGCTACTTAGCATCTGCGTCTAGCGATCATGGGTTCGATCCCGAGTAGGGAACCGAGAGAATGCGCACTACTGACAAGCCCAAATAAAGTGAAACGCGTCTGGTGTTTTTTTGGACAAGGCTGTGGTATATAGCTTTTGAGTTGCTGGGACGAAAACATTTAAATTACAATTAAAATCTTCTTACTCATTAGTAAAATAAATATTTCGGTCTAAACCAAAAGCAACAAGTATGTGGATCCGTGGTTAAATGCTCGTATTCCTCACGTGTTCACCAATAGTCGACAACATAACACATGTGGGCGATTATATTTATGCACAATGACCAGACCTCATCACGAAGACTGTTTCTCATGTTACCGAGAAATATATATTACTGTGAGTACTTTTCTTAATAGCCATTGGTCAAGCTGACAGCAGTTACGTGGCAATGTGTGCGGACGAAAGGCACCCAATCTAACAAGGTCGTGCACCCGGCGAATATAAGTGTTCCAAATGAGAGATAATTCCAGGAGAAGACACCAGAAGCAAGAAGTGGCGAACAAGCTTGTTTAGAGGGTTTCATCATCAGGCTAATACAATCACTATAAAGCAGGATAGAATGGGTACAAGAGGTTTAAAGGCGGTGAGCCACTGAAGTAAAGTATCTGATAGATAAGGCTACGTGAGGCCAGGCCTCAAGCCAACGCGATTACCAAAGGCGGTCATGCCACTCCGAGTGACATCACATCAACCAGACCAATCACGCAGCCTCGTCGATAAGGTAGTTTCCTTCGGTGACTCACCGCGTTTAAACCTCTTGTACCCATTATAGCTTACTTTGTAATAGTTGTATTAGCCCCATTGATGAAATCCTGTAAACAAGCTTGTTCGCTAGTTTTTGTTTCGAATGTAAATGTCCATGGAGGAGTCCCATCAGGTTCACCAAGACAAGTGGTGTCCATCAGAGTAGCTCTACGTCATGTCTCCTCCCCACACGCCCATACACACACACACACACACACACACACACACACACACACAAATGTATGTGTGGGCGCTTGCATTAGTGAATGAAGATGAAAGCAAGCAATTGGAAACGGCTATACCAGAAATATGCGACGCCGAAAAAGGAAAGTGAGACGCACCTTTTTAGGCAGGCGAGCAGTCTGGCGCTGATACCAGCCTGCACCCAATTCTTCAGCGGTTTCGGGCAGTCTTGACCTCGCACTCGTATATTTTCCAGACTTGCTCGATACGCTTTGACATCTTCTTTGGACATCTTGGCCAGTTCTGGGACTTCGATGTAGAAGTTCTTCCGAAACGGTTTGTATTCAATTACCGTGTGATTCACAGGTAGAAGCTTTTCTTTTTTCTGCAACTGCGCAAGCGCAGTTTCCAACGTCTCCTCTTCCTCCTCAGAAGAGTATTCCATTTCGTCCATATTGCTCTCCATCAACTCGCCTTTGCCGACCTCTCGTTTCTTTGCCGGCTTCAGATTGAGTTCTGACTTCAGTTTCTGGCCAGGTTTGTCAGCATCTTTGGCAATGGGAGGTTTGGTGGTGACAGACGGCTTTGGTTCAGTGTACTGCTTGACCTCCTCGTTCACACTCTGATTTGAGAATGCGGGAAAATAGCACTTAAGGTACACTGTCATAATCATACACGATGGCCGAAAGTGAAAAATAACCCAGCTATCTTGCTGTAATACAATACGATTCTTACTATGCAACACGAATGCTACGGAAGTCGGTTTCTGGTCATGTCAACAAGTGTACCCAACCAAATGTGTTCATCATTCCTTGGACCCAATCTGAGAGTAGAGAGCCACTTAGTGGTCAATCTCAAAGGTAAAGCCTTCAATGCTCTTCACCAAAATAGCGGCTGGCCTCCATCAGCTTCTATCCAGACCCCGGTCGCGAAAACAGCGACCTTAGCGGGAGTCGGTGTGCCGGCATGCATAATACATTGTTAAGCCTCCGGAGCCTGGTGACAGTGGTATAATAGCGCTGAGCGGTTCACACGCTCGAGGCAAACCGTAGTGGATTAAGTCTGTACTAAACACGCTGCTCAGGGAGGATTACGTTTAGAGATACAGACTGAGATGCGATGGTTAAAAGAGCAAGGAGAATGGGAAAACGTAAGGCCTTTTGGAGACATATCGAAGTAACGCGGGGAAAGGTTAAAGTGATAACTTGATGTATGTCAAGAAATTCTAAATTTCCACGCGCTTGTTGCAGTGTGACCGATAAACAAGTACAGATGGTAGTGGTTTTTCACATTTGAATTTTTATCTACGTTCCCGAATTCTCCTCTCTCAATGCCTTTCGACTGAGTAGTTCGATTTTGGTTACGTTTACAGGCGTACATTATTTCAAATGAGTTGACACGATTCGTCTCGGGTGTTTCTATCGGAGGTATCAGTCGTACATTAGAGCCTAGCATCCATACTTCACCACCAAACAATTACTACTGCGAGCTGGAATAGCGCGCAGCACCCATACCTACGCAGATTCCAACTAGTGATCGATGGATTACAAACCAGAGGCCTTATCACCCAGATATCGGTTGGATAGAATATATTGTACTAAGCAAAAATATCACTTCAAGCTCATCCAGCGCTGTGTCACATGAATTTAAACGATGTCTTTCATCAACGTAACAATGAGAACTTTTGCCTTCAGAATCGGAGTCCAATTTGTGCTCGACTCGAGACATACAATGTTGCGCCTAACAGCTGGTACCGCATTTGCTCTGGTTGCTGCCTCTTTCGATTATAGGTGATGCCGTTATTTGTGGAGCGAAGTTGAGTATAACACGACGCTAAGAGAGTCGTAGAAAAGATGCCTCTCTTATGCCGCAGTATCATTTCACGGCAATTAAATGGTTGCAACGGTACGATGTTGGCAAGGTGTCGGAGCATTTGCCCTCACCGTTTGCATGGAACATCTAGGTGATACCTCAAACTTTCAAACCCACTTAACTCACAGTTATAGGACAACTGCAAATGTATGGTAATGAAGAACAAATACGAAGGAACGATGTAGTGGTGATTAGAAAGGCACTGGAATTTAGCCCTCAAAAGTAAAATATTTCGTGGATGATGAATAGCATCAGCAGGTCTGTCCTCGAAGAGGAGAGTAACCTGACAGTGGCACTGCTCATAAATGTGTAAAAGATGAAAAAGGGAGACGCACCTGCATAAAGGCATCAAGGGGGTCGACTTCCTCCTCAGGTTCTTGCACATTCTGTGTCACTTTTTTGGACGAATCTTCCTCGTCGTCATCATCTTCTAGATTCCATTTGCGTGAGCGCGGATGTCTGGTAGTCTCTACTATCCGCTGTTGCACTGAGAGTATATCTTGTTTCAACTTCCGTTCCCGCCGCCAACGTTCGATGCGCTCCCTGCGCTGAAGTAACGACGTAAAAGTCAGCCAATGCGAAAAGGCAATGAGGAGTAAAGGAGAAAAACCCACTTACCTTCTGCATTTCGATATCAAGCCTCCGCTGCTCTGCATCTTTGTCCAAAGTATCGTTGATGACTAGAGCACCTTCCATACCAGAAACTCCTGGGTTACCGCTCCTTGCAGCCTTGATCATGTCTGCAGCAGCACTCGCAATGGCTGTCATAGATCCTACTGATGGAGACTTCCCTGCGGCCGCTTTTGCGGCTGCGGCCTTAGCCTCTTCTGCTGCCTTGGCCTGTGCTAAAAGTGATCCCATCAAGGAGGTAGGTGGCAAAGAGGCTGCGTTTGCCAACGCATCCGTGTTATTGGACAATGAACCATCCAACGTGGTAGAGAATGCCCTGCGATGCAAAACTGGCGAGCGAGATCGCGAACGTCTTCTTCGGCTGCTCCTTGAATAATCGTCGTCACCATGCCTTAATGAGAAGGAAAGTCATGGTACTTATATATTTGAAGAAAAGATGTACAGTACAGTATAGTGCGAATAGTAGCAAGAACCACCATAAAATAGGTGGTGTTACAAAATATATCAGCCTAGTTTAGTTAAACCACTATGAGCCGGGCACAGAGGTGCGGTGGATTCAATTACAAAACTCGCGTCACCAGGACAACAATGAATAAAAAAGCGTGCGAAACGTGGTGGAGTGAGAATAGAGAAAAAGGAATTAAGTAGGAAATGAGATCAATCGGGACTGGCGTGCAATGTAACTTACATGAGCACGGGGCATCAGCAGTACGCCAGTGCACCAGACCGTAGCTTCGCTGCAGAGCGAGCACTATCAGCCGCATGTGATCTAAATACACTGCGAGGTCACCCGCGCCTACGCAGACTCGGACCGGTGATCTTCAAATTACATAGCAGATACTTAGTCCCTTCGACCACTGGCCGACATATGATAATGAACTTAAAAGCAAACAGCTGCTGGCCGAGTGCAGATTAACTAGCTATTGGGAAGAGATCAAAAGACAGTCATTCAAGTGCAGACTCGTGAAAAAAGAAAGCAAAACAAATCGACGTGTTCAAAGTTGGACTTGGAGAATCCGCTGGTGGTTGGGTTGCTACAAGCAACCTCTATTGAGACCTCGGTTCACTTAAGGTGGACCTCGATCATTCCGACCACAAAGACCGTAAGTAAAATGGAAACAAATTGACGTGTTCCACTAAAAGGTAACATGCCTTACCAAATACTGACCAAAACAAGTTCGAATGAAGTCTGGTCCACAAGTTGAGGCTAGAATTAATCTTGTCAAGACAATTAGCATATATCCCCATAAAACGACATGTCGATTGCACAACGGTGAAAATAGATGGGATAAAGTAGGTGAGAATATCAGTAATGAAATGCAGGAGCTAGCAAGACATCTTCTACCAAACCGACGTTTTCTAAAACGAATGGTTTACAGGAGAACGATGCACGTGTTCATCAAGGACAACTAACATCTCAATGATTCTCAGATGACAGTCTACGACCTGTTGGTGGAAAATCGAACTATAATCGATGAGCGACTTCTTGAAAGTACCGCTACAGTGTATCATATGGTGACAAATGGAGCAGCTAGATCCACAACTAACGAGCAACCATCACCTTTGAGCAACGACGGAATGTTGTTGGGAGACAGATACCTCGTTCAAGCTTAGGGGCGTCAAGTCACGTTTGACGGGAACCCAAATAAGTCCGGGGGGATTTAGGAAAGGATGAAAACACTGAAATCCCGTTGAGTTAGCTTACAACATGTTGATCCGAAAATTCAGGTTAGAGTACCATAAAACAAATGTCCGTTTTCTCGGACTATGTAAAGCATTAAAACTTCCCCATGGTCCATGCTCCGATAAAAGTAAAACACTTCGTTGTTCCAAACAGCACTGATCATCACCACTTTGGGAGCCCGCCCTATTCGCAAATACTTTCGGTCAAATGACCTTTCAGGGTGTCGCGGTCACCCTAATTTCCCCGTAGAGAGACAGCATCTGCACTCAAATCAAATTAATCGGATTCAAAGAAATCCGGACGCTATCAGTGCAAAGAAAGTTGGATAAATTACCGGGTTCAAAAACCTTTTCACAGTACACTGGAAGCGATTGCAACGGGTATTTGCCTCATCCACTCAATTTGTTGGTGGCAGAAGATACCACAGTCCAGCTTGATGCTGCTGCTTCAGAGAGTAAGACCAGTTGATGACTAACTGTTATCGACGTTGGCAGACTTGCTGAAACAATACGAGTGCCATGCAAACTCGATTACAAGGTAATCAGGGTACTGAATCAATTTAAAAGTGACAAATGATGTGACCAGTGTTAGCGCAGTGAAGAGCTAAAGGTGGTACAGCATCAGAGAGTAGGACGCAGGATCAGCAGTACACCGATACACACAATCAGCAGTCGCGTGAGGTCGCCCGCACCTACACGGATTGGAACCGGCGACCTCAGCGTTACAATGCAAGCGCACACTTCTTTCGGTCATAGACAGAAGTCCGTTGGCTAGGAGCCTTGCATTCAGCCGACGAGAGCATTTACGGGCACCTGGTGGCGTGGAACATCTATAAAGGGTTATGTTCACTTTCAACTACACTGTAATTCCAGGCCGAAAATGGAGATTTTGTCGGGGGCCTTCGTCTTCTGGATTTGGAAGTGGCTGGTCCGTGATCCGGATAGCTGTATCGGTCATCCGTGCCAAAGTCGAAATGCGGCACCAGAGCTGAGGTGTTTTCCACCCGCAGCTAGCGTGTGTAATGACGATGATGAGTCGAAATAAAACACAGACAGTATTAGCGACAGGATTGCGAGATAAGACGATACTCTACAGGTGTCGATTCTGAAACAACGATTTTGTCAAATGTGCCCGCCCCATTGCCTTGGAATCAAAAGTGGTCAATAAGGCAATGGTGAGTAAATCCGGGTCTGAAATGTGGTTTTAAAATCCCACTACGATCTCCTTGAGGTGAACTACAAGCAACATCACCATACACATTCGCTGAAGGTGAAAAACGCCTTAGCTCTTGTGCCACAATAGAAGCTTATGGATGACATCCTAGAAAGCACTCTAAGAAACTGTGAATCGACTTATTATACATTACATTATACACGTCAGCTAGACGTGGGAAACACCTCAGCTACTGTGTCGCAATAGATAAACGAAAAGGAAAAGAAATACAACAGTTGCATGCCAGCTGAGCTACCAGCAACGGATAAGCATCGTTCCGGTAAGCTACCAGCCGGCTAAAAGGCAAAAAGAAAAATTATGTTTTACGCTACGAAATGAGATCATGGAAGGAGGGCGGAGGCTAAAAGGGATGGGGAAGGACAAAGAAACTTACAGCACGAACGCCACTGAGGTCGGCTCCTTACCATATCAGCAAGTGTATCCAGTCACCGACTTTCACCGACTTTCGGACCCCAACCAGGGAGCAGTGACTCTCCAACCGACGCCAGCTCCGAAATGAGGACCTTCATTCTTCTCGACCAAGTTATCGCTTGGCCACCCCTCCTCTTCTTCCATCCACCTCCCAGGCGCACAAACAACGCACATCACGGAAGCTGGTGGGCTGGCATGCGCAACACGTGGCCAAGCGATCGGAGCCTGGTGCGTGAAATGACGGTGTTGAGCGGTTCAGTTCTTTCTCCTGTGTCGCAAACAAGGCGTCAAACACGCTCGCTACTCACGCGGTGTTCCCACCAGATGTGAGCCAAACTGCGAAGGCACCGATGGTCGAATGTAACTAGCTTCTTCAAGTCCAACGATCTTAGGGGCCAGGTTTCGCAACCGTACAGTAAGGTCGAACGCACCGCTGCATTGTACACTACCCTACACGGCAAGAGTGATGTCGCACCGTCGCCATAGGTGGCGAAGACTAGCAAAAGCACTTCGAGCTTTCGCTATACGGTTCGTGATCTCGTCTTCGATTCCAAGGGCGATGATACAACTTCCCAGGTAGTTGAATTTTTGAACGACTTCTAGCTGATCCCCACCAAGGGTCAGCGCAGGGGGCGATCCCTGCCAATCCTGGAGGAAGGCTTTGCACTTCGGTGGTGCAAAGCCAAGCCCGAAGCGACTGACAGCTAGTGCTAATCTGTCCAGCGCGGCTTGGCACGTCTGGGAGCTGTCACAGATGAGGGCAATGTCGTCTGCATACTCTAAGTCAAGAAGTCGTTCTCCTGGGAGTAGCTCCACATCTTCCAAGTCATGTCCTGTAAATGCAATCTCCATGACTTCGTCAATAGCGAAGTTGAATAGGAAAGGTGACAGCGGGCATCCTTGTCTCACACCGCTGGAGATATTGAAGGGTGGCGACAGCTTGCCGTAAGCCCTCACTCTGGCCGTGCTACGCGCGTATAGTGATCGGATAATATTTACCTTTTTCTCAGGTACACCTTTCCTGAGTAGACAATTCCAAAGGTCACATCGATCAACCGAATCGAAGGCACTTTTGATGTAGATCAACACGACTACAGTGGGTCGCCGATATGTTTGGCGGCGCTCCAACAACTGACGCAAGACGAAGATGTGGTCGATGCAGCCACGAACCCGACTAAACCCGGGTTGATCCTAACGAAGCTGGCTTTCACGAGCGAGACAGTCTGTGGAGAATTATGGAGGCGATGGAGATCAGACTGATTCCTCTATGGCTGCCGCATTCCGAGCGCGAGCCGCCTTTGAAGATGGGAACAATAACGGAGCGACTCCAGTCGGTTGGGACAATCTCCTGCTACCACAGTTTCACTAGTAATTCATGTAAAGCATCAACAAGAGTAGAGCCTCCGAATTTGAAGAGGGTTGGAGGAAGATCATCTGGTCCCGCGGCTTTGTTCAACTTCAACAGTCCGATCTCACGCTCGACTTCTGAGCGAGAGGATAGATCCAAAGGGACAGCCCAGGGAGCAGGGCGATCAGTGGCCGGCGAAGAATCTAACAATTCTTGCCGATTAAATTGCTTTTCAAAACGCTCAGCTCCAGATGTTTTGACAATTTATGGATAGGCTGTCCACTCGCGTCACGTATAGTTTCACTAATACCAGCTCTCCTGCTGCCCGTTTCCCGTATCAGACGGAATAACTTACGATGGTTACCAAGGGCAGGGGCTATTTCCATCTCTGATGCACGATGAGACCACCAGGATTCGCGGTCTCTCTTCCGGCTAGCAAGAAGTTTTGCCCGGAGCACTTTGCGAGTCTCATTGTGTTCGCTTCCAGCCGGGATATGCCGGCGAGCGTCGATAAGTTCCAGAGATTGCGAAGAGACCCAATGTCCATGTTGGCTATTAGACATACCACATGAGGATTTGCCTGCTGCCAGTAAGGTCTGGCGAACATGTGACCAGTGACCATCAATTGTCTCCAGTGAGCGCTTGCTCAAATCGCATGTCAGCGTACTTTGATACGCATTCAGAACAGTTGGCTTTGTCAGTTGGCTGGTGTCAA